ATATATATATCGGTCGAGAGAATCTTTCTGCGGGGAATCAAGACATAATCGAGGGACGATCGGTGAGGCTGGAGGCGAATTTTCTCTCGTTATATATATGTATCCCAGCGATGAATATTCATTTCCTCCCCCTCCCCCTTGGCTGCGTTTCCGCGGCTTTGCCAAATCGAGCGAATTAATTCAATTGTGCGTTAAACATATTAAATAACTTCCGACCCGTTGGTTACAAACCGCGACTTTGTTATTTGTTTGCTGCTGAATATCACGAGGTCGGAGGTAAGTGGTGAAATCGCTACTAAATCGGCGAGTCGCTTTTACGAGAAGCAGAGGTAATTGTGCTTGAAATATTTCATGTTTCGCGAAAGGTATCTTCTTTCCGTCTTAAGAGAAGGATTCTTTCACGATCGATCGATCACCTCGTTACCGTTTGAAGAACATTCTTGCTTTTTAGAACGACGTGTCACGCCATTTACACTGGGCGTTACATATATACACTTTCGTTGGTTAAACAAAAATATTAATAAACGGAAATATCTGTGAACACTGGAATAACCGTGTCAAAATATTCTACATATAAATCATTTAAATAATTTAAACGACCACTATAACGAACAGATTTATACAATTATGCTTCTGTTCAAACAAAAAGTAACATTAATTTCGATCTTTTTTAAGCACTCTGAAGTCAGTCATATTGATGTGTTAAAATAAATAAATTGTTATGAAATTTCTATAACGATAGTTCCAATAAATGATACACATTTCTTACAGGCAACTGTTTCATTTCAAATATCCCGCCGAGAGAGGGAGTTAAGAAAGTTTCTAGTTGCAAAGGGTAGTCTATAAAAAAAAAAGGGAGGAAAATGCAACAGAGGAAGGGAGAGACAGAGAGAGAGAGAATACGCGAAGTGCGTCCCTGACCCGACGTAGAGCGACTCAAGTCGACGCAAGCAGAACCACCACGCACCTGCGACTGTCGCCCACGCACTTTACCTTTCACTATTACTTTCTCTATTGCGCTTTTGCATCGTCACAGCGGTAACGAGGTTCGCGTGCCTCGGCTGTTCGCTACGAAACATACACGTTGCCACGGGAGAGCGAATACAAATCGTCGCGTTCGATCTCGTCGCTAAGGATTGTCTTCACAAGGAAACAAGACGACTCACAACGGGGGCTGCACGAAGGAATCTCAATTGCGCAAGACGAAATTTCGACGAGGAAGGAACGAGTAAAACTCTAGATGATGCACTGTTTCTTCGCAAGGCGTTCCTTCCTACTATTCTCTCCAACTCGTTTCTTCTAAGGTTTCTTCTCCCGAGTAACGCTCGATTTTCTTTCTAAGGTTTACCTCGGACGAGACACCCTGTGAAACTTCCACGTGCCCAGTGTGTCGGGGGTGTAGGACTCGCTGCATCCCAGCTGTCCCAGGGAGCACAGCAAACCACCGTTCTCTCTTCTCCATCGTTTCTCTCGAGGACACGCTCTATCTCGTCGGAGGAAGAACACCCTCCTCGGATCTTTGCCCAAGGATTCCAGGTTTCGGCCGCGGCAACTTGGCCAGGAGATCCCGCTCGCCTTCCGTTCTATCAGCTCCAGCATTATCCTTCCGGATTATCTCTCGAAGTCACGTACAATTCATCGAACAATTATCGAGGAAAATATATCATCGGTCGATGCAACACTTTTGTGGAATGTCTGTCGACTAACACGTCATCGAGTAGCAAGCGATTGTTGCAGTTGAAAGTTCTTGGATGATACCGTGTTTCGTTTTACCAATATCTTGGCGATCTCTGCTCGATCCGGTCGTCTTCTCATCATAGTCTCTCCTCTCTCTCAAAGTCGTTCGTTCGTTCGATGGTAACTCGATGCTTCCGAGAGATCGGTTGCTTGGAATCTCGGTGTCCACTTGATCCTCGTGATCGACGCCAGCGAATCGAGACGCGGAGGAACTGTGTCGAAACGATCG